ACCCTTATTGAATAACCTATGAACATGTATGCGATCCAATATTATAACTACAACAATATATAATGTACGTATATTCATTATAAAAAGGAAATAAGAAAATTATTTAATTTTTTAAGAAATTGTTTATAATTATGATCGTTACACTATGGTTCAAACATTCTCCTATACTGGAATATCTAATTTAACTTAAGTTATATCTAGAAGCAAAAAAAAAAACTGTTACCGCAAGAAGACATATGAAACTTTTTATGTCCTTTTCATTTTTTTGTTACTCTTTTTCTATTTTGTTTCTTTATTAACAATTTTAAAAGATAAAACTTGCACTTTTGCACTATTTAAGTTTATGTTATATAACATTTTTCAAGTAGATTATATCTATAATTTTATACATATTTTATATTCCAAGAATAGGTGTTGATAACTGAATTTTTTGTAAAATTGCATATAAAAAGGATGTTAAAATTTATATAAGGTATATAAGAAAAAAAAAATTTTTTAATACCATTTTGTTTTGATTTTATTTAAGAAATTGTAGGAAAAATTATATTCTTATATATACGTATAAGAATAGTTTATTTAAGAATATGTACGGTCTAGTATGTAGGAAATATTGCATAATAACAATAATTCAAAAAAAAAAAAAAAAACTTTCTTATTTTCCGGTCATAAAAGCATTTGACGACAAACGCGGCATTATACTCCCACCAATACGTACTACATACATTAGTAGAAACAATAGTTAAGAATATAATATTGTGATTGGTATATGATTTATAAATGTATTAGATTCTTTTTAAAAAGGATATACAAAGTATAATATTCACTTCTTAAATAATAAACATGATAGTATCTTAGTCTACAATATATTTTAAACTTTAATATGAGACAAGTAGCAAAAATGAATTATTAGTAATCCATTGGATTAAAAAAAAAATTATTTACATTAAAGATAATTTATTATTATCTTAGGATTATATGCTGTTTAAATATATGTATTTAAAAAAAAATGAGGAAAACAGATGGGACATTATTTTTATAATCCTACATTTCAATACCTTTTATTTTTTATTAAGAAAATTATTTTTAAATTAATACTTTTAGGTCTCATAACATTTTCAAATTCTTAAATAATTAAATAATAATAAACTATATTATGAAAAATCTCAATTCTTAATCATAATGATTATGCCTAATCAATCAGATAACCTAAATAGATTATAGGTTTTCAAAAATTTATACACAAATCTTGTTCATTTAAACAAACCAAATAAATTCCAAAATTGCTTAAAATATGAAACAAATTAAAATATAACATTCTTTAGACTCGTAAAACTTAACATTAAATATTATATAACATTATATTATGTTTATATATCATAACATATTATTATTACTAATTCCTTAAATTTTAAATAATATTATGGTCCACCATACTCAATAAATTTAAATTATGTTTGTTATTTTATTAACCCTAATTTAAATTCGTAATTCAAGTAAAAGGTCAAAAACCTTAGTAAAATTTCAAAATAATTTCTTATTTTTAGCAAATTGAATAATTATCGTTCATCAGATAATCAAAATATTAATTTATAATTATTAAAATTACATCAATTACTAAAATATGTATGTGCGTATTACAAAGAAAAAAAAAAACATGAAACAAAATTACAAAAAAAAGCAATAAACTAAGGAATAATTAATCCTAATACCAACTCTTACAGGTATTTGTTCTTTTCAAATATTATTTATAATCTTGTAAAAAGCTCTGATGTCACGGATTCATTCAAAATCATATTTCCAAATTCCTTTTCGGTGTTTGGGTAACGGTAATGATAAAAATAACTTTTCATAATCCATTTGGGTGAAAATTTTTTTTTGGGGATTTAACTAAAAAATTTAAATAAATGAAGAATAAAAAACATTTTTTTTAAAGGGTCAATTTAAAAATTTTCAATACATATTCATTTACATGTACATACCAAAGATAATGACAGCTAAAAGATGAACTCTAAGAATGTATCTACTTCATAAAATAAAATGATTTACTTAAATATCAATTTTTATTAATATCCGAAATTCTGATGATCCTGTGTACCAGTTCTTGCTCTGAATAGATGATATTTACATGTACCTATGTATGTATACAAAAAGAATAAAAAAACAGAAGTAAATATGAATAACAAGCAAAAATATGTATGTATATGTATGAATAATAAATCCTGATGATCCTGTGTACCAGTTCTTGCTCTGAATAGATGATATTTAAATGTACCTATGTATGTATACAAAAAGAATAAAAAAACAGAAGTAAATATGAATAACAAGCAAAAATATGTATGTATATGTATGAATAATAAATCCTGATGATCCTGTGTACCAGTTCTTGCTCTGAATAGATGATATTTACATGTACCTATGTATGTATACAAAAAGAATAAAAAAACAGAAGTAAATATGAATAACAAGCAAAAATATGTATGTATATGTATGAATAATAAAGCAAATTGTTTAGCTCATCAAATTTTACACATTAATATCACAAAAATTCATAATGGGCCAAAATTTGTATAACAAATAATACAAAAATTTTAATCCTTAAAATTTTAATTTACTAAATATTATTTTAATTTTTTATTTAACTTAATTTTAATTAACATGAATGTAATTTCAACCAATAAAATTTTCAAATAATACAAAAAATCAAGAAGTAATTTTATTTAATTTAGTTTATTTTTATTTAATTTAATTGAAATTAACTTAAGTTTACCTTTAAATATCATAAATTCATAAAAACATTATATGTAACATTCCAGCAATAATAAACTCGCAATAAATTTTATAATTTCGAATATTTCAGAATTACTTTTCAATTGTACATATTGAAAATACAATTATATTGAGATTACAATTATAAATAAAAAAAAAATATTATTGAAATAATATTTGCAAAGTAATATAATATTCTAAATATTTATTTTAAGCACAGATATTAAATATGTACATATATTCAAATAGATTTTCACAAAAACGAAAATTAAAAGAAAGCTATATATTTAAAATTAAATCAAATCAAAATAATATCAAGAGTTATTAAAAATTGAAATTCCTTCTACTATAGAAAAGTATAATGATATTTCTAAACGCATCTTATCTTAAAAAATTCCTAAATGCTATTTATTTCATTAGAATTTCTGAAATAATGTACAATTGTATTTGACTTTATATTTGACTAAATTTTTACATTTTTATATTTGATCAAATTTAAATTGCGCATTTTTTCTACGAAAACTATTCATAAATAGTAAAAATATATCCCTATTTACAAAATACTATAGAATAAATTTAAATTTACTTAAAATAATTTAAAATACAATACAATTTATTTTAATAAATAAATCATATATAATATTTTTCTTTCAAATCAGTTCTGATTTTTAAAAAATGCTTATTAGAAATAGGTATTATTAATTATTATCTTAATCTAATATATAAAAACAATTAAATGAAAACAATTAAAAATTAATTTTAAATATTTAAAAGTAATATTTTTTACATCATTTTTAAAAATTAAATCAAGTAAATACACAGAACATCCTTTAGAACATTATCTACAAATATATATTAAAATTTAGTATATTATTATTGTATAAAGTTTCTAAACAAAAACTGTTTTAATGTTTTATATTGTGGAATGTCAAGAGTATCCGGTCTTTGATATTTAAGAATTCATATATTTTTTTTAAACCAAAACAGAACTAACTTTAAAATTGAAAGAAAACTTTAAAAGAACTGTTTACACTTAGTGTATGAGGAGAAGCAATAACGCGCATAAAACAGGATATTAAATATCCTTCATTATTTCATGTTATTTAATTTTATTTTTATGTTAATGTATACAATTTTAAATTTATTGTAACAAATTTAGATTTATAAACATCCTTTTATTTTAAATGGAAAACTGTATAAGAAAGTTTCTTTTCTTTTGAAAAGTTTTCTTTCTAAAATTTAAATTACTTGGAATTTTTCAAATTTACATTTTAAACTTTAACTTAAACAATAATTATGTTTTATAATTTGGTATTTTTATTGTTTTATTTAAGATTAAATTGGCTGATCAAAACAAACTAATGGTTTTATTTAAAAAATGTAGAAAAAACTAGCTTAAATTTTAATCATTCTCTCAAGATTTAAAATTTTTTCTTCAAATGCCTTAAAAAGTAAACTATAATACGAAAATGCAAAAATTTTGATTGTATTATTATAAATTTAAAGTTTTTACAGAAGGTTATCGTTTATAGTTATATCATCGAAACATGCTTCATACCACATTGATTTAATTCTCTTGATCGATTAATTCCAAAAACTAATGCAAACTAAAATTTGAAAATAAGGAAAAATTAGTTTTCTTTATAATTATCACAAAATTTTACTGTTCTGCATCAAATTTCGTAGACGTAGGAAGGCCCATATAGCAATCTTCTTCTGGCTATGTATCTTCAAGCTCTACCTCAACAATCGAATATTATTTGCAAAAAATTAATATTCGTATTACATTAATCTGAAAATAAAATTGAAGTTAATGTTTTTGTTTCATTTATCTACAACATAATAATAAATAAATTAACTATTTACATTTTTTATTTTTAACCATATTTCAATTACGCCTGCTTAATTGAAGGTCCTTCAATATGATAAATGATTATTTCATAAAATTCCTTCCATAGCATATCTCCATAATATGAGATATGTATTGTATTTATCGCTAATTACAAGTTACCAAAAAAAAAAAATAAAGTTAAGATTTTTTAAAGCCCCGATTGCCCTAATAAAATAATTTTTACCCTGTTATTAAACTATTACTATTAAACTATTATAATATTAAACTATTACCATTAATTACAAAAATTATCATAACTTTTTAACAAAAAAATTATAAACATTGTATTGTGAAAATGGACTGTTAATTAATATCATGTTTTTTATTTTATTTTTATTTTTAGATACTTTCACATTTGAGGAAACAAAATGTTATCTTCACGTGTCGTCTTTCTGGGTTTAATTCTAAGCATTCAAAAACTACAAATTCAAGGTGAAAAAATCCCAGTTCAAATAAATAGTAATGCTAAAAATAGTTTAAATGATTTTACAACACAACTTAAAGACACTTTACAATCAATTAAATCGAATGATGCTGAACTTCTTTATGAAAAACCAGAAGATTTTGATGATACCGACGATGATATAGAACCACTTGTCTCAGATGTTGATTTCGACAATTTTAATAATGCTTTAATTGTTAAATTCAATAAAAACTTTCTTAACTATCATGATCCATTAGAAGACAACAATAGCTATAAAGATGATAAAACATTAGAATCTAATTTTTTAAGACTTACACGAAGCGGAAATAATAATCTAATGCGATTCGGAAAACGTCAACTTGAAACTTCTAAAGATCAACGACCAATGGATTCTTCTAAATCTAGCTCAAGGTACAGTAGAAGTAGTAGTACATCTAGAGATTCAAGAGGTGATAATTTTATGCGCTTTGGTCGTTCAAATAATAATAACTTAATGCGATTTGGTAGAGCAACAACCAATAATATGATGCGATTTGGTCGTTCTAATAACAATTTAATGCGATTTGGTAGATCAAATTCCAATTTAATGCGTTTTGGAAGATCTAATTCAAATTTAATGCGATTTGGCAGATCTAATTCAAATTTAATGCGTTTTGGGCGAACTGATCCAACAAGTCGAACTGATAGTTTTATACGTTTCGGACGTAATTCAAATAATTTAATGCGATTTGGTCGTAATGATCCAGGTCGTATGGATGGTTTTATACGTTTTGGACGTAATGCAAATAATTTAATGAGATTTGGACGAAATGATAGAAATTTTATGCGTTTTGGTAAATTAGACCAAAATTTTATGAGATTTGGAAAACGTGATGAAATTTTTAGTGGAAGTCACTTAGATTCTGACATAAATAATAATAAAACTAATGATAATGATAATTTTGAAAATAATATTGGCACAGGTTTTTATAATTTAAATGAGGAACCTGATGATATTAATGATGTACAATTAGATGATTAAATTCTAATGAATGAAAAATAAATTGATTAAATTTTTTTTCCTTTTTTTTTTTTAATTTTGAATTAATATATTATTTTTTTGGAATTAAATTATAGAAAACAAAAAAAAAAATGAATTAAAACTAAAAACATATTGTAAAATGTCACACTTTAAAAAGTCAATTCTCGAATTTATGATCAATTATTATAAAAAAAACTTTTTGTTTGCATTAAGCATGTATCAAAAAAGAAAAAAATCGGAAAAAAAAAATATTTCCAATATATTTAAGAATTCCTAAATTTAGTATTGACGATATCATCATAAAATTACATGAATTAAAACCAAAAAAAAAAGATCAGTTATAGATTTTAACGAAATTATTTTAAAATACATATTTATATTAATATCATAAAATATTTAAATATTTAGATAAACATTTACAAATAATCATTACAAAAAGAAAATATATAAATTATTATCTATATTATAAAGAAAACATTTGAAAATTATTATATATTTATGTAAATAGTGTGAGGAGTTATTAAATAAAAGCTAAAAAGCATTGTACAAAAAAACAAAAACAAATATTATTTGAAAATAACTTGAAATGAATTTTTAAATTGGCTGGATAAAAATTCATTTCAATATTTTTCTAATCATAATTTAATAATAAACTAAAAAATATATACATATATTATATAAACTTAATATAATTTATTTAAAAAAGAAATACAGAACTGTGTATATTTTATTGTCCGAAAAAAGTAATACAAAAAAAATATATTGTACTTATATAATAATAAATTTCTTTTCAAAATTATTTACTAGAAATTTCATTTGTGAACTAATCTTAATCATATTAAGCATACACTAATTGTGGTTTTATAAATCAAAAAGCTTCAAATAGGATGCTATTCAAACTTAAACAATTTTTCTTTTTCATATATTAAAAATAAATGTTATATGGCCCATTCCTTACTTTATCAAGTTTAGATTTTAAGGAAAGAACTAAGAGGTACAAACGTGTACCCCATAAAAAAAATATTCGTTATTTCCATTGATTTGTTTCTTTTCTAAAATGGTTATAATATTAAGCATAATGATAACTGATAAGTTACATATTTATTCTACAACTTATTATTTAGAAGAAAAAACAAATAATTTTAGGAATAACTTATACAAAATAAAAAACTAAATATTATAATGAAAACATACTAAATTTTCCATTTTAATGAAAATAGGTATATTTCGAAAAAAAAAATATCGGAAACAAAATTTTACATTCTTCATTATATAAAAAAAAAATATTTTCTTATTCATATATTTATTTAATGCGTTTATCATAACTTATACCATTCTTTGTTGATGGTAACTTGTTTATAATTAGAAATATTCATTGAAATAATAGTGCTTTATTAATATTTTTAATAAAAAGTTGTTTAACCTAAAGAATAAACTTTCTAAATCCAATTATTAATTATACATATATTTTTTTCAAACATTTTCTAAATTAGTTAAAAATTATATTAACTATAATCATATGTTAATTTGTTAGTATCATGATTTGTTTTTAATTTTATCAATATAACTTAAGAAAAATTAACAGTTCAATTAAATTTCATAGTTCATAACATATTAAATTTAAAATAATGTTCATATTTTTTTCATAAAAAATGAAATTAATTCATTTTAAGAAAATAAAATATTTCAAAATGTGCGCATTGTAACTATATACATTGTAATCCAATTCTATTTATACGTCAATTTTTTTTATATCACTATTTTTTTTATGCCATTTTAATTCATACCAAAACTCTTTAAAAAGTAAAGGGTCAGTATTATTACATATATTATAAAGTAAATACCAATCTCCATAGTTGAAATTATGACTTGACAATACATTTGATATTTCGTTCGATTTTAAATGACGAGCTTGTGCACGTAACAATATAACACGCATTGATTTAAATGCAATTAAACTAATACGAAATATAATATTTAAACCTGATAATATGGTTAAAATTAGAAACCATATAAAGAAAAACGCAAATATTTTTTCATTTAAAATATTTAAAGGTAATAAGCAAAGTAAATCTCGATTTATTACTGTACCGGAGCCACCAAACATATGTATATCACACTTTACAATTTTTGGAAAAACTTTAGAGGAATAATAATTCCATTCATTCCAATTATATAATGGTATAGAGCTTAAAGCTGGAGAATAGCTTGACCAAAAATTCATAAAAAATATATTCATCATAACAAGATTTAAAATCTAAAAAGAAAAAAAAAATGTTTTAAAATTTAAATCAAAATGCTTATATTTTACTATAATGTTCACAAAAAACATTGGACCTCTGAACACTGTTTTTAAGCTTATCTATTTCCAAAATTACTGATTTTGTAGGAAATTTAATTATCATTTTACATTTGCATGTATTTCTACGCTATCAAATGTTAAGAATAATAAAAGTAATTTCCAAATTCATGTGACGTCTTTTTTAACATTTTCCAATGAAAACAGGCGATATTTATTTTTACTCTTAACTGCGTGAAATTGCGTATTCACATATTTCCAAATCTGATATTTTAAATAGAAAATGTGGACTAAACTATCAGAAAACTTGATAGTTTCATATCTATAAAAAATACATGAAAGAACCTAGTTGTTTTTGATTTTAAAATTAACATTAAACGAAAATTAAACGAGTTAATCAAAAAATTACAAAATAATAGTGAATTAATTCATTAAAACCTTTTTTTTAATTTAAATATTTTGTAATCAAAAACAAGTAGTTTTGTAGATACTCGTATAATTAATAGTACCTTACCTATGAATCATGTATTAAAAATTCCTTTTCATAAAATAATTTTTCAATGTTCAGATATCCATTTATTATAGTATTGAAGATTAGTAAATAGGGGTAGTATGTGGAATTTGAAACAAATTAAAAACTTACGCATATTAAAAAATTTAATAGTTCGCAGAAGCAATATTTCAAAGCATAACATAAATTTATATAATTTATGCCACTGGTAAAGTATCTGAAAAAATATTTCCTACGGTTTTTTTTGCTCTCACTTTCGTCTCCTAAATACAAAAATAATAATTTATTTCAAAAATTAATGTAGATAAATAGATATCCAAGAGACAATTAGAATCCAAGCTTAGAATCCAAGCTGATACTAATTGTCTCTTTAAAGATTAATGTAAAAATTTTTATTGCAAATACATTGTATGTAGTTGCGTATGACGTATGTATGTACATAGTATGTACAAATATATTTACCAAACTTCTCGCATAAACGTTGCAAGGAATTAGCTTCCCAAATTTTCCAAAGATATCCTGGCATTGCAAAAGCTATAGCTTGTAGTACTAATATTAAAACTACCCATTGATAGTATCGTAAATAAATACGATCTCCATCTCGTTCACTTCGCGGATCTATCGAACGCAAACTATGTATCGAATGCATAGCAGGATGAATACCATATCCAACTATATGATTCTGTTTAACGTAATTCTTCTTTTCAAATTCATAATTAAATATGTAAGTTCCATGAGTCCAACAATAAAGTTCATGTAATGATTTATCTTGATCACCACTGGATTTGCATTCGATGGGATTTCCAACTTTATAAATTGTTAAATATTATTTTCCAATTACAAATTAAATAAATTAAATGACTTACAAAACTGATTGAGAGACAACAAAGCAGATGCTGCCAAAAGCAAAGCAAAGGTTACCTAAATAATGTAAATTTGTACAAACATAAAATTACAAAGTGATAAAATTAATTAAATGATAAATTACCTTTGAATGCAAAATGAATATAAAATCCTGCGTAGATACTTGTTTAGGCTTGAAATATTTAGTAAATGAAATTAGTGAAGAAAACATGATTAACAAATTTTAACAAATAAAAACAATATTTTTTCACATTTAAATTGTTGATACAAATTCAGTGTGTACTTGGGCGCCACATTTCAATTTAAAATTATCTAATGAACTTCACGTGGTGTTATAACGGTTCTGTATAATTTATCAAGTTGAAAAATCCCTCTATTGGAGTATTGTAAAAATTACAACTTTCGTATACTACAAATATACGAAATTATTTTCCAATATTAAATTTCAATACACAAATTTAATATTTTGACTTTAAAGAATTTATATTAAAATATATAAACTTCTTTAAAAACATTAAAGTGCTTTTCAAGACAAGATATTTTGAATTTAGATAATTTTTGATAAGATAAATGAACTCGACATGACAAAATTCAAGCTTAGATCTTAAGATTTGTGTTAGTTCAAATCAGTGAAAACACAATTGTTTTAAACCGGAGTCTTAAACGTTAAAAATGAATTTGATTTTACCTTTTGAGAGAAGAAAAAAAAAAGCTTAAAATAAAGAAAATGTCAATGTCATACGAAAACTTCAACCGCTTGCGAAACAGACGAACTAATAAAATTCAACTATAAATATATCAAAGTCAAAGGACGTTTTCGTTTCTTAACTAAAAAGAGATTCGAATGGGTAGAAAAATGTTCGTTTCTTACCTTAGAACTTCCAGAGCAAAAAATTGTGTAGCTTTCTACAATCAAAGCATGCTCAGAGTGTGTTCTACGTAATCGGCAAAATGTTCAGATTATATGCAGCTTACATATTATTTTGACATTTCAACTAAAAATTTGTTAAATGACAGTTTGAGCGCTGTTATTTCGTTTTTAAAATTAGAGTTCTCAAATACATACAAATTAAAAAAATTTATATTATTTATTAAACATGCTTGATCTTTTCAAGCATGGTTTAACAACTCTGAAACTGATCATACTGGATCTCCGACTCAAAAATGGAGACGCCTAAAACGAAGCCATTGCCTTTTTAAAATTTTAATCGCCGGCGTCTGCCTTTTAGATTTTAAATATTTTGCGTAATAAAACATAACTTAGGTTTAATAAATAATAACCCCAACGCCAGTTTTAAAATAATTGTGTTATTTTCTGACAACGTCCAAATATCAACCTAATCTAGTATCTTGCTTTTTCATATAGCTTTTTTTGACTTTCAAATCAGAATTCTTCGATTTTTTCAATCAGATTCCTATCTTTTTTTTTCAATTTATCAACTGAACGTGTCACTTTAAAAAGAATTGAATAAATTTTGTGCTTATTTAAAAAAACGAGAAACGCCACACAAAATAATTTTCTTACTCGAAAATTATATTATACAACTATATGATAGTTACCCACTTGCTTTTCACTTGGCAAATAAAATAGCGTGATACACATTTAGGCTCTACTCTATATGTTAAAATTAATACTTGTCAAAAAATTAAATAATAATTTTTTGTGGAAAAAAAACCCTCACGAGACGAAGTTTATAGTGTTTTACTTAAACTTTGTTTATTTGACGGAATAAGTACTTGACTTGAAATTTCAATCTGCATATATACTGCACAGGTTGAAATAATATTATTTGAAATCAATTTGGGTTTGATTCTAATTGGCAAGGATTATATAATAATTTGTCATTTTTAATCTTTCAATCCGTGTACATGCAGTTGATTTTCAAGTAAAGCTAATACTTTTGTGTTTTTTTCGATGCACTGCATTGAGAGCTAAAAGTTAACACTTATAACACTCTCCTCTATCTCTCATAGTTATGCCACTTAAAATTGTTAAATGTGTTTAAAAAACAAGCGAAAATGCAAATTCCATTTGATTCGAATTCTTTTCGGTTATTCATGACATGAGTAATGTAAATTTAAACATGTAAATGGATCCAAGCGGTGTTATGTCATTTATTTTATAAAATATTGTATATCCAAGATAAAATTCTCTTGAAGAGTGAAAAACTATCTTGAATATTTGTAAAACCAATTATTTATTTCTTATGCCGATAATTAATTAGTTATGGTTAATTATAATTATAGATTCGGCATAACGATAAAATGTTAATTTTAAAATAATTTTTTTTATTTTTACCTGAAAATTTTGATTTTTAATGTCAATTTTGAACCTATAATTTTTCATATATTAATAATACACATATTTTTCTCCTACATAACAAATTATGGGATATTAAATTGAGACAGAAAAGTTGATTTGACTTATTTCCTTCAATTTTGTTTAGTCACCTTTCAATCTTACACACTTTTTAATGTAATCCATTATAATGCATTAAGTATAATGAATTACTTATCTTACACAGACCTACTATTACATTGTAGTTAATATTTGAAAAGTTAATTTATGTTTATTTTGGATTTTTTCCGTAAGATGTCGCAGTACATTTATCCTCAAAACAAACTCGATGTTCAACCCTGAGCTACAAAAAACAGTTTTCTTTGAGAGGATGACGTGTCGTGGACTGTCAAAATATTTCTAACCCTCCGATCTGAATGGTATTGATTGCTTGGTAGTTGATATCTTTCCCCACGTAGAATTTATGATAAAATTATTTTTCTTTAAGTTACGGCAGTAAAATATAGACAGTTAAAAATATGTTGAAATTAGGTAATATGAATAACGCAAATTTTGTGGTAAAAAATTTAAACAAAGCCGATTCATGTGCTTTAAGATTGTAACCGGCATTGTTACTGCAACTTTGGGTATGCATAATTTTATATCACATTGTAATTTTAGTGCTTGGTCTATTTCTTTTGGCTTATTCTGTGAGTTGTGTTCCATCGAGAACAGTTTCTGATCATTTATCTTCAATACATCGGCAGAGATTTGAGAAAGTTTTCGCAGAAGGAATAAGTTCAAATGATTTACAAACTGTTTATTATGCTGCAATAAATCATGAAAAAATTACTCAAGATGAAAAAACAAACCTTTGCAAAAGAATTCTTGAAGTACATGCAGAGTCGAAGTTGAATGTAAATCATTTGAAGTAATTGTTATTATTTTAAATTAATTATCACATTTAATTTAGGATTTTGAAAAGAACTTCTACCTAGTTGGGACATACAAACATTTGAAGTGCTCAACGCAATTGCCACAAAATGTGTTGAATGCAATATCTACATCTTTGGGAAAAGATGTGTCTACTGCTCAAGAAATGTTTTTCAATTTATTCAGCTCAAAAGTGATGGGTATTAAAATTGATAAAACAACTACCGAAAAGTTAGCAAAAAATTTACAAAATATTCTTAAAAAAGACGATTCTTTAAGCAGGTTAGTAAATTATTCAACATGGAATATGATAGCTATGTCCATTTAATTTTAATTATTGACGTTTTTAGCTTAGGTTATGCGTTTTTCATTGGAGCTGAATTTGGTAATCAAGCTTCTTTCGTCGCAGAACGTATAGAGGATGCTATTGTTCAAGCAGATGAAGTAGATGGAAAAATGTTACAATTTGAAGGAGGATTAAGTATAACTGCCTTAATTATAAACGGTGCATTTAAAGTCACAAAATCTTTAAATAAACCCTCCCCAATTTCTGAAGAGCAAGCTGTTAAATTTGCGACATACTTTTTAAGTAGAAGATCAGTACAAGCAGCAAAAGGAGCCCATGTTCTTTTGGAGGCCTTAAAGACATTAAGTGACGATAAGAGTATAGCTCCTATTTGCATTCAATTAATAGGAAACGGTCAACTAGAATCTTCTACACCAGTTTTAAATATCAAAGTACTTGATTTATTAGGTCGTCCTTTAACCCAACCCATTTCAGCTATATCTGCTAAAATAGTTGTGAAGAAAGGCAATACAGTTTTAGCTGAAAAAGTTCAATTTGCATCTAAAGATTCAACAAAAACAGTATATAGTGCTGACTTAAGTTCATATAAACCCACTCGTGGAATATACACAATTGATATAGCTGCTGACAAATATTCGCAAACCTTAAACTTCAAAGTTTTAGGAAAAGTAAAAGTTCATTCGCTTGAAATTGGCGTTGGTGATTCTGATGCTTCTTCCTCTTTGAAAAAGCTTGCTGTTGTATACCCCTCAAAATTAGGACAAGTTTTGACTGCTGACCATACTCAAAAACTAGTTTTGAAAATTGCGCTTGTTGATGAAGGAACAACAAAAACTATAACTGTGCATCAAGCTTTTGTGCGCTTACTAAATGTTGAAAATGACAATGAAATTATTTTTGTCGCCGAACAGGACACTACAAAAGCATATAAATTTGATATGGATGTTGGCACGAGAGGAGGAGATTTTGGATATAAATCTGGTTTATATAAAATTGAAGTAATAATTGGTGATGCCTCGTTATCGAATTCATTCCAATGGCATGTAGCGGATGTACAATTGAAATTTTCACAGGATGCAAAAACTGGTACATACATATTTAAAAAAAAACTGCTCATATTCTTATATATTTATGCTATTTTCTTGCAGATCAAACTAGCAAACCAAGAACAATGTTACCAGAAATAACTCATAAATTTAGGGAACCAGAAAAGCGTCCATCCCGATTCTTATCGGATATATTTACTGGACTATGCTTGACACCATTAGTGCTGTTGTTTATTATTTGGGCGAAACTGGGAATTAATGTATCAAATTTTTCATTCAATTTGTCAACAATCGGTTTTCATTTGGGATTTGGAGCAATTCTTGGTTTATTTGCAGTTTTCTGGTTACAATTAAATATGTTTGAGACAATTAGATATTTAATTCCTATTGCTATACTTACATTCCTTTGTGGAAATCGATTGCTGCGAACAATTGCCGCAGGCCAAAAATAATTTTTAAGGCTTAGTTAGAAGAAAGTGATGAATTTCCTATCGTGCAAGTTATACAAAAAGCAAGTAACTATCAGGTTATAAACGTATTTATTTACCTACATATTTCTTTAACTATCTATCACATTAAAGTTCAAAAAACTTAAATTCTATTCGTGAATTTGAAAAACATGTAAATTGCACGACGTCAACAAAAGAACAATGTACGTATTCTTAAGTTTTTTAAAACGCTTTTTGTTTTAATTTTTCCATAAGTCTAAACATTAGAATAAAGTTTTAAATATTAAAGTAAACGTCTTTTCTTTACGACACCTGAAACGTAATAAGTAACTAAAAGCTTTTTATTTTTATAAAACGATGATATATTTTCAGACTTTCTTTTTAACGTATAAACTTAATAAAAATTGGAAAATAATTTATTCTAAAATGCTAAAATGGAATCAAAATAATATCAATAGTAAATATTACATAATAATACCATTAGAAATGTAGTTTGAGGACTATTTGTTTTCACAATTAGCAAAAACAAATTCTTTAATACAACTCAACAAACATATGCGCAACAATTATCCGTAGTTAAAGTTTCCGATTTCAAGTAAAACCTTATCATCTTTTCTAAAATTATATTACTTAACTATAAAAATCCCAACTATTCAAATTTGTTTTTGAACATAAATCTAGAATTATTTGAGAACCAACTGTTGCTGCATTTGCTTTTATACAAGTTCCTGTTGCGGAATTATATATAGGAGAGTTTCCACTTTCTGATGTGTAACGCCATTGTTGATCTCCAAGCATTTCATGGCACTTCCCTATTACGGGAGCAGATTTTCCTGAATCAGCTGATGCTTCTAAACAATACAATTTATCTAGTATTAATTCTGATTTTTCGGTTTGATACCACATTTGATTCTTAGCTTTTGTACATGGTTTCAAATATAATGTGCTTCCACGCTTCCAAAAACCGTTCTCTTTTTTCTGATTCTTAACAGTAATACATAAGTCCGTATCAGATAACCGAATCATAAAATCTAATTTTATATAATTTCGTTTCCTAGTATGCCAAGGATGATATGCAACCTTTTGATTTGACGAATCAATTATTTTACGTTTTTGACCAGGTATATCTAATTCTGGGTAAATATTTTCAATGTACCATTTAAAAGATGAGCAATTTAGTCGTTTTCGTAATTCTAAACGATCATCAATATTGCCAAATTCAAAAACTTTTTGTCCCCACTTTTTCTGTCCGTCTATGTAATATTCTTTATATTCATCCATCCAAACATAAGCTAAACGAAGGGAATTGTGCATCATTGTGTTGGAGCCATCTGTTGATCCATAAGGCCTTCTTTTCCGAAAAATATGACCAACACGAGAACAAGGATATATTTTTATTGCTCCGCCGCATTGCCATACTCTAAATGATATTTCTAGATTTTCACCACCCCAAATATCCATTCCCATGTCATATTCACCAATGAATTTGAAATATTGACGATTAACAGCAAATAAACCCCCTGCCATTGTCGGCGATATGAATGGTCCTGCGAAGGACGCGTTATTCACCTTAAAAATTTATAACATTAAAAATTAATTTTAACTTATTAAATGAAATTTACCAATGTTCCAACAGGAAGATTTTCCCACTTAAAATGTAATCCCCAATTGAATCCTCCCCTTACTAAGGGGCTTGGGGAATAAGCAAATGTATCCGGATTAATAATATCAATAACTGGAACTGCTAATGTAGAGTTTTCTCGTTGTACTGCATCTAATAATGGCTCTAGCCAATGATTGTTCACTTCAATGTGACTATCTAAAAATATTAAAACATCCCCTATTGCAGCCCTTGATCCAATAACACGTGATCTGATTAATCCTTCTCTATTTTCATTTCGAATAATTTTCACTTTCTTATCTATATCAATATCTCTTATCTTATCTTCAAGATCTTTCTTTAAATCCGGTAAGTCACTCAAATCGTCAACTAGTATAATTTCTTTTAACAAATTTTTCCGAGATCTCAGTAACACAGAATTTATTGAGCGTAGTAATGTTGTTAGATGTTCATTAAAAAAGCACATAACAATAGATGCTGATGGCAAATCAATTGAGTATTTTTGTTCCAAACAGACAATATTTCTGGTATCAGGAATATTACGTGTTAATCCTATGTTGTTACTAACTAAAGCGTTAAATGCATGCTGCTTATATCCTATATCTCTAATATGTTTGTCCTCTATAGTGCGAACAATTCCCAATTCTCCAGCACCATAATCACTATCGAAATGAAATATTGGCTCTAAATTATGTGAATCAATTACACTTTGATTAAATTGGAATGTTGGAACATTATTTTGAAACAATTTCAATAAAGACAGTGAGGATGATGATGAATATGTTTTTTGATGAAGAACTGCATTTTGCATAGGAGTTTTTTTAGTAACTATATGTAAATATAAAGCTATTGTTACTACCCATGTTACAGATGCAACAATTATTCCAAAACAAAATGGTTTGTTAAAGCACTTTAAAAACGACATAATGGGATGAAACATTACGTCATCTTTCTTAATACTCAAAAAATATTATAATCCTTGTCTTTTTTAATTTTGTTACTAATTTTAAACTAGTTTTAAAAAAATTACATAAAAATTTTCGCAACACAAACACAACAGCTTAAAATTTGTATACAAAACTTAAATGTCAACAAAATGTCAGTAAAGATATTTGTAGCGGTAGCATTTTGTGTTTTGGTGTCAATGACGTTGCGAGGAATGTTTAAACTCAAATGAAAATTAATGTTGCATAATATAATTTCCTGACACGAGAAATCCAAATGAAGATCCAACAAATCGTGACGTAAAAACGGCTATTATTCAGTTCAGGCTGTTATAAATAATTCAGTAGCTGAGGATTTTTGTAGTTTTTTGGAAGCATAACAAAAGCTTTCATACAGGACTTATGGATTTTTTTTTTATATGGGTGAGAATAGTACAGAAACTTCATAAACAAAAAATCAATTGATTGTCAAGAATTAACATTTAACTGAGTTATTGTTTAGTTATTACCTCGAAAAGTGATTTATACTAAAAATTTTGCTCAAAGGCATTGCCAAAAGTTTGTTGAATAAGTTTAAAGCGGAAAATATGTTCGCAAAGTAAAAAGGCAGTAGAGAGATTTATGGGTATTAGGACAAACTAACTTTTTTATTTTTTCTCAATATTGATTTTCAGAATATCGTGTTTTTATATCTGTCAACTTTATGGTGTTATTTTTGCTAATTCTAGAATAAGGTGACTGTTATGTCACTTCAACTCGGTAAGTGATATGGCTGGAATAAAGCGTTTTTTAAAATTACAATACATAATTTTGTTAAAGCACGTTTGACAGAAATATGATATTTTTGTAATATCAAAATTTTAACGAAATATTTCTAATAATACCATTATTTTTTGTTAATTATGGGAATTTGCTAAAGTTCAGTTTTAACTTAAATATAAATATAAAGCATGCCTGGTAAAATAAAACAGCAAAATCTTCAAAAGCAGCATGTTCGATAAATCACTACAAAAGCCTGTTCGAAAATCGTAACATGCTTAAAGTTCCAAAGTATAAAAATAATTTTTTATGCTTAAAGATTTTTTTTTTAAATGCTGTAAAAATATTATAAATTTGAAAAAAAATCACATAGAAAAATGAAAAAATCTGAAAAATTAAAACTAGCTAGCTCCCGTAGGTCTGCATAACATAAGATTTAAACTAGGACTTTAAGTGCATATCTGATTTATTGAAAATCTTCATAAAAAACATATTTTAATATATAAAATTTGAAAAATCCTATGTCTGCTAAGATTGTTAACCATCGGTAAGGCCCGGCCCATTTCATATTCGCTAATTGAAAATTAAGATTTATAAAATAAAATTTTAAAAAGAAAGACAATATTTTTTTTTTTTTGTTCTTTTTCATAGAAAATGAATTTTTATTTTTTTTTTTTTATTATTTTTAAAATAATTTTCCCATTTGATGTTTTACAAGACAACTTATTTTTATTTTTATAATAAAACTTATAGAGGATTTGGAAGTTTTTTTTTTTTCCTTTTTAGTTTTTTTTTTTATTCCTTTTAAATCATGTATTTATGTGTGTATTCCGTGCTTAATTATATTTATTTAATTATGTTTTTTTTTGGGACTACCATTAATTAATTATTGATCTACTATTTTGAATAAGAAATTAAAATGTGTATTTTTATGTAAATTTTTAGAAAGTATGCTACGTGTATAATATTATTATGTAAGTGGTACTATTTTATTTTATAATTGTATGTATTGTGTATATTATATGCGAATAATAATAATAATAATATATGTAATTAATCTGATGTATTTTTAATATTAAATATTAAGCCGTTTAAAAAATGAAAGTAAATATGTTTTACAATAATATTAATATGTATGTAATAAGCATAAAATTTAATACCAATATTATATATGTATAAGCTATATTAAAAAAATTTTTTAATAAAAAATTGGTTTTGCTGTTGTTCAAATTTCTTTTTTCTTTTTTATTGAATTTTTTATCATCTTATAAGCTTAATTTTTATATGTTTCCCTCTTTTTGATTTTAAATTAAATTATATTATTGTGTTTTATATATTTTAATTATTAACTGGATAATATTTGATAAATTTAATTCATTGTTCTTTTTTTTGTTTTTTCATTTTCATTTTCATTCTAAGAATAATGTGTGATATTTTAACCTAATATTTTATTAGAAGCAAAATATAATAATTATTGATCTTTGTACTTGGATTTATATTTTTATATATTCTTTTTTTTTTTATATCATTAGTTATTTTATTTTGGAAAAAATTTAATTAAAAAAAAAAAAAATTTAGAAAATTAATTTTGCAATTATTTAAAAGATGTACATATACATATAATATATTATATTATGTTAAAAAATAAATTTGAAGAATTAATTATGTTAAAAACTTGAAGGATTCTTTCTTTGTGAAAAAAATCATTAATTAAATTTTTTAATTTTGATAAAATTTACATTTATTTACCTACGTATTTATGTATTTTTATATCTGAAAGTTTTATATTAGAAAATTATTTTTATTAAATTTTGGGGATTTTCGATAATTTGCACATGCACTGAAAGAAAAAATTAAATTACAAAAAAAAATTTTTCAAGAAAACCTCCTCAGTTTAATTAAGCTTTGCTGATTAAGAAACAAATAGATACAAAAAAATTAATTTACCATTATTGAATACCTTCAAGTTCAAAAATTGAATTTAAAAACTCATTTTAAAATTTATTTTTTAAAATTTTATAAAAGGAAGCCACAATCTTTTATATTGAAAAGATTACAGAGAAAAAGATAAAAAGTAACAAGTAATTTGACAAATGATAGAAAATGGAAGAATTATATAGTGTTTTGTTGATTATGTTTTTTTTTTTTTATTTTTTATATAATATATAATTTTTTATTTATTTTTTTCTCATTAGCAAAAACTTATAAACTAGAAACTATAATTAAAAAATTAAAAAGAGGTTATCGATAGACTATAAAACATTCTTATATTTATTTTAAGAATATTAAAATTTGACTAAACAATGATTTTTTTTTACTGACTGATAATTTTTTTTTTTTTAAACTTTTATTTTATTGTTATCTCTCAATTACCATTATTGTTTTTATTGAAAAAAATTATGTGTTCTTAAAATTAAATGCCCGTAATTTAAAAATTATTATTATATTATATAAAATCAAAAAAAAAAAAAAAAAAATGTTTTTTTTTCATTCTTTTATAAAAATGATTGATGTTTTAAATAATTAAAAATAGCAGATTTTGTAATTATTGAAGATAAATTCAATTTTGTTTTTTTTTTTGCTTCTTTTATTTAAATTAATTTGACAAATTTTCTCTTTTTGTTTTTGTGTTTTTTAATAATATGAAATGAATTTTTTTTATTTTATAATTTTTATTATATATTTTTAATTAATATATATATATATATTTAATACAAATATAAATTTGTTTTTTTGGATGATTAAAAAATTTAATCATATAGAGTAGTTGTCAGTTTTTATTTCTAAAATTTCATTTAATTTGTTTTTTAATTCTAAATTAGTAATTTTTTAAATACATAATAAAATTCTTTATTTTTTTTCCCTTCTCTATTCTATATTTTCCTTCTTTTTTTTTTATAATGATTTCCACACTTAATAATCTTCTTTTTTTTGGAAACAGTTTACTACTAAAAAAAATCAAATGTAAAATATACTGAAAATCCATTAGTTGGAGATTATGTCGTCAATGTTTTCACTAAAAGAAAAAATTATTTTATATTAATTATTTTATTAAATTAAATTTTTTTTTATGCTTACCTTGATTTGATCATAGATTTTTAAAAAATATTTGAATATATTTTTATTATATTTTGTGTATATTTTTTTTTCTTTGTTTGAGAAGAGAAAAAATATTTGTTTTCCATTATTTTTGTTCAAATAAAATTTTATAAAATTCTTACGTTCTTCATTATAAAAAAAAGACATGATTATAGTCAAATTTATTTCAAAAATTAAATATTAAGATTTTTTGTTTTGTTTTTGTATTTATGCTTATATTTAAAAAGATACATTTAAAGTTGTTTTGACGAAAAAGAAGAAAATTCATCCAAAATTTTTGTTTTTTTCATTTATTTTCTGGAATCTAAAACGCTGTTTTACAAAAGAAATAAAAGAAAAATGTTTTAATAATTAAAATTAAAAAATATTTTAAATTAGAAATTGATTGTAATTAATTTTAATATTATAATTATTATTATTATTATTAAAATATTGTTATACAAAAAAAATTAAAGCCAAAAATACCATATTACAAAGGGTTAATTTTATATTTGTATTTTTTTTGAATTCTAATGAATTTTTGAGTTTTAATAATACGAGTATATCATTGTACTGTTTGGTATACCAAGAAGATAGTAATATTTTTTTGAGTATCTTCCAACGATGAAATAAAACAGTATAACTTTTTTAGCACGATTAATAATGCGACCAAAGGTAGACATTTCATTTGCTTTGGAGATACCTGTTCGTGCCAAATATATATATATATATATATATATATTTTTTTTTTGTTATTTTATTCATACATTTATATAATTCCACTTTACTCGATTTATTTAATATTATTTTATAATTTATTTGCGACACCACACTTTTAAAAACACTTATATCTAAATTATTATTAGTTTATTTATACATAAATATGATTTTAAAAAGAATAAAATGTAGTACTAAAATTATTTATGAATCATATACTTGTATAAATATATTTTTTTTCACATGATTTTTACACAATTACTTTGATGTTATATTAAAAAAGTTTATATGAAATTTATTTTAGTTTTATTAAAAAACAAAACAAAAAAATGTTTTTGAAAGCAAAATAGCACAAATCCCAGATAGAATAAAAACAAAAATGTTAGCAGAATGAAACACACATTGTAGAAAGACAAGGGATTTTTTGTTATATTAAAATTCAAACAACAAAATCACTAGTCTTCCATACAAAATATGCCAAGATGGTTGGTTAGAATAATTATAGTTAAAGGATTTTTCATATTTCCAATTTTTTTTTTCCATTTATATTATGTTTATTTTTATTATATCGTTTCAATTTTTAATTAAACAATTCCACCACATTAATAAAAATGAATGTTAAAAAAAAAAATAAATTATTAGTAATAAAATTAAGGGCACAAACACATAAAATATGAATAATGAATGTGAAATTTTGTTATATTATTCTGTAAGCTTTTTCCATATTTATTATGTAAAAAAAAAATGTTATTTTACATAAATTAAGAGTTTATGTTTAGTTGTTAGTATTATAAAAATGATTTTTTTTTTTATAGAATATTTATATGAAAATTTTATACATTAACATTTTAAATACTTAAATATTAAAATAAAATTATATAAGGAAATTCTCATTTACCTCTGCTGCAATAAATATTGCGCCATTTGAATTTGCTTTGGTGTACCAGATATTGTGATGATACGATCATTTGAACCCGGTAATGGTTCATCTATTGTAATGTAAGCATTTGATTCATTTCTTATGCGTCTTATTCTTTGACCATTTTTACCAATTATAGCGCCGGCAAGCTAAAAAGCAAATTCAATTATTAATAAAATGATATTTAAATATAAAAAATTTAAAGTTTATATAACAATAACAAATGCAGTATTTGTGAAAACTTACATCTTTTGGAATCGTAACTTGTGTACTATTTTTACCATCTCCACCACCTCCACCACTATTTCCACCATTCATATTATTGCCACTGCTACCAAATCCACCTCCACCGCTATTAGCACCACCCATACCACCCAAATTACTATTTCCATTACCCATTCCCATATTACCGCCACCGAAACCGCTACCTTGACCTCCACCAAATCCAGATCCACCACCGAATCCACCTCCACCGCCAGAACCAAAGCTTGGACCATTATTACCAAATCCGCCACCACTACCAAAATTACCACCACCTCCTGAACCGAAATTTGGTCCATTTCCACCACCAAAACCACCACCGCCTGGTCCAAAACCACCGAAACCACCACTATTATTACCGCCACCGCTACCAAAACCACCAAATCCACCACCGCTCATCGGTCCATCATTTGCCCATGGACTTATAAAATCACGATCACGTCCACGACTACGACTGCGATCACGTCTGCGATCATTATAACGATCACCACTACGTCCGCGATCATAACGATCACGATCTCTGTAGCCACCATTTTGGCTAGGAACACCATAACCGCCATAATCTACTGCATACATATCATCATAATTAATTGGATCATAACTGTTAACTGGTCCTCTGATTGGAGTCTAAAAATAATACAGTATATTACTAATATATTCATTAAAAAAAAAATACATATGTATTGGAATTTCTAGATTATCAAAAACAAAAAAATTTTGTTACGCAGCAAATACTTACATCTTTTGTCAAAAGTAAAACTTCTTTAACAGCATCAACTGTTTGTTCAAGTCTTCCAATAACTTGTACAACACGATCAGAACTTTGTGGTGCAGTACTTGGGAATACTTTAAGGACTCGGCATCCAACTTTCTACAAAAAATAATAAAAAAATTAAAATTAATGTTAATATTAAAAATTAAAATTTCATTTTAAAAATTCAATAAATATGTGTGAAGAGCATTCATTTATCTTTACAATAGGAAATCAAATTCTGTTAAACATTTCAAGAAACAATGGAACTTCCGTTATATCGTGAGTAAAAGAAAAAAAATCATTAAAATTTTTAAGAAAAATTAATAAAAAAAATTTAAGGATTTCCTGTGTTAAAAATAAAAACCTGTTTTTTCTTTTTACTTTTAGGAAACCTTTACCTTACACCTGTTGAACTAAGGCAATATTTTATCAATATTGAGAAAAGGTAAAAACAAAAAGAAAATCAAGAACAAGAAATACGAGTAATACAATTGGATAAAGATTGGATCTTAAATAACCTCAATTTTTTAGACCAAACAAGCACCAATTTCATAAAAAATTAGGCAATTTTGAAAAAAAAAAAAAATCGCACAAATCTCAGGAATAAGATTTTATTATTATTATTTTTGTATATGTATGTATATATACATATTTATTAAGTCTATGTATGAATAATGTGTAATTGATTAACTAAAAGTTTGAGATTTTTCAAATAATTTTTTTTTTCAGTATTTGCGCATCTCATATGAATACGTGTTTATGTATACATAATATAAGTACATACATACATAAATGCTCATATTCTCTAAATCTAAAATTCATATTGTGTACACAACATTACATATATTGTAAATTTTTTTTGTAAAGTATAGAATTTTTATTATTTTCTAATAAAATAAAAGTTCATTATTAAATAAATAAGTGTAAGTAGCCAATAAATTTATTCCACAATAATAACTTTAAAAATAAAATTATTATAAACAATAAAAAAAAAAAAATAGTATTGATTTAGTATATGAGGTAGACCAATGTATAATGTACTTAAAAAAGGGTCTCCCACAGATGATGTACATATGTATTTCTGAAATGAATATATTTGTGTGTAAAATATACGAAAATTTTACATATTTACGATCGTTATACAAAATATTTAAAAAAAATATACTCGTATTTTATCCTTTTTTTTTGTTTCTGAATAAAACTTGTTGTATTGTGTCATACATCCATAATACAAATTAAACATATGTACATACATATACATATATGCATATATAAAACAGTAGAATTAATGTTACAATGAACTCATCATAATATTTATGAAATCATAGACAATTTTTTTATTTACTTAATAAACAGGATGTTTACATTTTGAGTACTTTCACATTATTTCATACATCACATAAATAGAAATTAACATATTGCTTATATATATACAATATTTTATTGGAATTAAATATTTTATATATACATATATAATATGTAGATTTAATAAACTCTGTTTATAAAATCCACTTACAATTGGTTATCATAGAAATAAAATTATTTTAATTTAGAATTTTAGAATTTAAAATATTTTTAATATTAATTTTTATCGTTCTAGTGAGGGCCACATAATGAAACAATTCTGTTTTAATTAATCGAGAATTAAATCGATTAATTTATAAATTCGATTCAAGTTATTGTTAAAGGAATATTCTTGAAACATTGGTTTTAATAAGCTTCTAATTTAAGCTATTCTGCAGTTTCAATATTTCAAATTATTTTTTTGCGGTGATTTTTTGTTCAATAATTGAAGAAAGAGGTCGAAATAATTGAAGTCAGTATAGCAATAATTGAAGAATGCGGTCGAAATATAATTGCAGTGGGTATAGCAGTAGTTGAATAAAGCGGTCGAAATAATTGAAGGTGTAGCAATAATTGAAGAAAATGGTCGAAATAATTGAAGTGGGTATAGCAATAATTTTAAACAAACGGAAGCGGTCGAAATAATTGATGTGGGAAGCAATTGAATTTCAATTTTCAAAATTTTTATTCATATTCATATTCGAATTCATATATTAAAGTTTTTAATATGAGATTAGTTATTATTTAATTCAGGCACACATATGTAATTCATATTATATACAAATATTTCATTTCAAATCAATAATTTAAAGTAAATTATTTAATTAATTTTAAGCATATTACAAAAACTTAAATGAAAATTTTGAAAATAATTTTAATATTAAGAAAAATTTAATGAATTGCTTAAATAAAATAAATCAAAATTTACAAAATTATTGACATTTACCAAAATTATATTGATTTAATAAAAAAATCAAATCGATTCTATTCAAAATGATTATTTCTTTAAAAAATCGAAATTCAATCAATTATTCCAGCTTGTTTAATATTTTTGTCTTTTTACCGACCGTATTGTGTAAACAATAGGTAGGTTATGTGATGGCAACAAATTTTGCATATCGAGTTTTCGGTGGGAACGTACTTCTCCATAGTAGGGAAGTGTAAATAAACTATTTTTAGCAACCTGTCGGTCTGTCGGTCTGTGTGTGCACGCCTGTATCTCAAGTTCGGCTGAACCGATTTTGATGAAATTTTTTTTTGTTGTAAGCACATTGTGAAACGGAAACCGAAAATGCTCAAAAATTATTTTATTCATGAATAACAAAAAAAAAAAAAAAGCAAAACCATAAATAAAAATTACTGAAAAATAAAAAATGGATAGGAAAATAAGTAAGGGAAAAAAATAAATTAAATTGGAATTTCACTGTATTTTCGTGTCTACATTAATAAAAACAAAAAAAAAAAAAAAAAATAAGGATATTACAGGTGATGGTTTGCGTTTTCAAAAGGTCAGATCAAAATTTTATATTTTTTTTTGCCTTTTTATAGGAAATAAAAAAACAAAAGAAAACAAAACAAAAAAAAACAGATACAGGTGCTTTAATACTTCAATTTTTATTTAATTTTTTGCTTGTTTTTTTTTTCTTTTTTTTTTTTGCTTGTTGCTGTTATGTTATTGTAAAAGGATTTTAATATTTTTTTTTCGTATGTTCCGCTGCTTGTTATTGTTGTTCCCGCTTTTTTTTATTTATTTGTTATCTTTTTTTTTTAACAAAGTTATGAGTAGAAAATAAAATGATTTCTAAATGTTTTTTGGGCGTTGGTTGGAAAAAAAAAATATATTTTTTTTTTATTTTGTTTTGCATGTTTTTCAAATATTTTTTTTTAAAGAGCCCAATAAAATGTAAAAAAAAAAAAATTATGGATTCTATTTTAAATATTGCATTTCTTTAATATTTAAAATATATAAATTTTATAATTAAATTTTCGGTAATTTTTACAAAATTCTGTATTCTGTTTTGTTTAATGGGAAATTGAGATTCAAATATTTTTATCTCTTAACTAATATTTTATTTTTTAATAAGTTTTAATGAAATTAATTATGCAATTATTTTAAAAATTAGAAAATTTTTAAGAGTATTTTTAATAATATTTTAAAATATTGCTTATTTATTCACTAATATAGCATTTAAAATTAGAATTAGAATTGTTTTGTAGCCGCATGAAAGAATAAAATTTTTCATAATGAAATACACAAATATAAATTATGAGATATTTTGGTGTTTTTTTTTAATGCAATCAAAATTTTATAATAATTATAATATTATATTCCTAGTTTTTCTATTTTAAAACTAAAAAACTTAAAAATATTTATAATAAATAACCATAATTTATTCAAAAATAATTTTTATTTTTCAAGTAACACAAAAATAAAAACATTTTTAACAATTGAAGAATTGAATGTCATCTACAGTTTTTTTGAGGTTTTGAGTAAATTAACATTCTTTCAAAGCCAAATAATTCAAAAGTGTGAATAATTTGAGTCTTGTTTTGAAAAAAATGTTTTTGCATATGAAAGATAAACATATAAAACTTCTATATTTATGCAACAAACCCATTTTAATAAAAATTGTAGATGACACCTTCATTCACTGGTGACAACCTTTTTCAATTATTAATTAAAATTTTCATTAAATAAAATTTATACGAAAATACTATTGCAATCTTATTTCAGATTTTCTAAAATTTTTATGATTTTTTCTTGACAAAACAAAAAATAATTTTTTTTTTTATCCCACTTTATTCTTGAAAGGAGTATAGGGGGGCTTGTGCATGATTATACCCCAGTTTTTTGCGTCATTGGGTTTTGGGAAGTGGATGACGATCCTACCGTTAAAAGATAGTTTTGTACAATTAATAATGAATTTATTAAATTTTTTTTTTGAATAATATTCAATAAAATTTGTGAACTAATAAAAATTTCAAATCCTTTTTTTTTTTTTGGGAATTATTCAACAATAAAAATTTTGTATAGAATTTCATAATATTGCATTTTTAATTATAATTGAAAATATTTTTGATTTTAAGATTAATATAGAATTCAAATGTAATACTATATAGAAAATGCCTTTTTTTTTGAGTATGCATGTCATTTTTTTTAAGAGTAAGGAGAAGCACTAACAGAACCTTTTTCTTCTTGAGAGAGAAAATAAAAACAAAACATATCGTAACCAAAATCTATTTCCGGATTGTATTTTTTTTTTTCATCTTACCATAACCAAATGGTAAAAAATATTGGTACTAATAAAAAAAAAAAAGGCACAAAACGAAAATGTAAGAACAATTATTATGTGAATGAATTGTGCATTTAATACTTTGTGTATTCTGTATACATCCATATAGATACCTCATCATTGAATGGATACCTCACTAAATGGATAGAAACAACGCTATTTTTTTAATAATCATATATTGCCAATTCATCTATATGCATTATGTTCATTTATACTTGTACTCTGCATAAAATATTAAAAAGACTAGAGGGCTAGAGGACTAGAAGACTAGAGGAAGGGAATTTACATATGCAACGTATATATAAAAGCAGATAAATTCCTATATTAAAATATTATGAGAACAAAAATTAAAAAAAAAAAAAAAAACAAAAACAAGAAAATATTTAAAAACAAAGAATATTTAAGTTATTTATTTTGTTTTTTTTCCCTTAATTTTTTTTATTATTCAATCTTTTAAGATTTTTTTTCTCTTTTACCGAC